GACAATATAAAAAGAGTTTAACTAGCACTAGAAAAACATGGATGTTAGGTTATGTAATGCTATTACATGCTTTTCAGGTGAAAATACAGAAGAGCTCAAAGACTTCCTTAGAGAAGGGCCAGATTATGCTTTATTGCCAGAGGAAGCATGGAATTATTTAATAAATTGGTATGGTCTCTCATTACATTCAAAACCTATCATGAGGTAACAGTTGTATTATTAAGTGTATGTATGATTGTTCATTCTTATAGACCTGTAGTAGAAGCTGGTACATCTCCATTTAGATTTTTGATGGTTGAAGTCTACAGATCAAGATAAAGTTATGTTTGTGAGTATTATCATTGACATCGCATTAGGTCTGGACTGTATAGACTATCTAAAGTGTTTAAAATATCAATTTTGAGCTATACTAAAGTTTTATATTTGGTAAAGTTTATATGACAAACCATTCTCCATTAGCTCTCGTGACTTTTTACAAATTGATTCCTCTATTTACTAATGTCATTCTGTGTTCCTCAGTTGAAAAAAGAGATTGCAAATTTAGTCATAGCTACTATCTAGTATACCAGCAGTTAATATTGACGCGTGGCATGACCTAATTGAAAGAACATTAGTTCTACACATAGTACGTTCATGCGCTAGCTGTGTCTATCATTAGGTGATATAGTTACAGTAATGAAACAACAGTTCAACATACCTGAACCTACTGAATGTAGAATATTGAGACGTCACATGACAAGATATTTTGTACCATTATTAAACCTAGAAGACACAATAGCTGATGCTAGCATACAAGGAGGACAGACAAGTCAATTTGAATAATAATTATTAATCAATTATTTTTTATTTTTCTATTTTTACTGAAGGTAATGCTGAAATTAAGGAATATTTTTACTTGGCCAAGAAACAATAAAATAATAATGATTGCATTTTTTTGAGATAATTTTTTTGAAAAACAAAATTTAGTGTATTGTGATTTGCTCAAAGCCATTATCATTGGCAAAACACCATGTTAGAGTATGCAAATCGAAGGAAAAGTCATAGTTTTCATGATATTTAAGATGACTAGCATCATCAAAAGCAAGCTAAGGAACTATTATAGCTATTGCATTACTCCTGAATGAATAGATTTTTAGAAAAATAATAATTGTAGCTGCATCATGAGCCACACCTCCCTAATTAAGCTGTAAGGAAACGCCTTTGTGGATTTATGGACGCGCATCAAAGAGGTCAACTTCAGCCATTACTCTTGCCTGATTTAAAGGAGACTGGTAAAGAGTTAGGCCGTGGAGCTTATGGTGTTGTTACTGAAGTAATAGTTAGTGGAACAACCTGTGCTGCTAAGAAGCTTCATGATGCTATTGTACAGGTAAAGGAATTTGTATTATACTTTTAGATCTCATTTGAACCATTTCTGTAGAGCTTTACTTTGAGAAGATTTGGTGATGAGGTGCTTCTTCACAGTCAGCAAAGGCATCCTAACATTGTCCAGTTAATTGGTGTCTATTATCCTCCTCGTTCACAATTACCAATGTTAGTAATGGAGTATCTTCCTTTATCACTCACACAATGTCTGGAGAGAGAAGAGCTACCACTTCAAATGAAGTATTCTATTCTTCTTGATGTTGCTAAGGGTTTGTGTTATCTTCATGGTAAACGTCCTCCTATTGTACATCGTGACCTCACTGCTAATAACGTGTTACTGACCTCTTCATACTCAGCTAAGATATCAGATCTAGGAGTATCAAGATTAGCTGATACCTTTAAAAAGCATCACCTCACTACAGCACCTGGTAATGCTATGGTAATGCCACCAGAAGCTCTTAAAGATATTCCGGTATATGATCACAAGTTAGATGTATTCTCTTATGGTTGTCTCATTCTTCATGTACTTACTGGTCAATTCCCTGAGCCTACAGACCAGTTTGTACCTGAACCAGGAAGGAAGGATTTGTTCAAAAGAGTATCAGAATGGGATAGAAGATCAAACTACATTAAAAGTATACCAAAAGAGAATGAGCTCCTTCCTTTAGCTAAGGATTGTCTCACTGATGCTCCTACTAGTAGACCAGAAATGATCGACTCTTATGTATTTGTGGAGAAGGTTTTATCAAAATATCCAAAAATTAAAAGTATGACGGAATTAATGAAAGAAAATGAAGCAGCAGAAAAACATATTTGTGAATTAGATGCAGAACTTAAAGTATTGAAAGCTAAGAACAACGAACTTGAGAAACAACTGACAGCCGATAATGAACGACTAATGGGAAACTATGACCAACTGAGAGAAAGCTTGAGAAATATTTTATCACAAGTGACAGGCCTACAAAATGCTCTTTCATTAAAAGAGAAGGAATTTAACGATTGCACTGAAGTACTAAAGGAAATGATTAGAAGCAGGGATGAACAACTAGTTAAACTACAACAAAACAACATGGATCAACTGAAGAAAAAAGAATCTGATTTAAAAGAAAATCATTTGATAGAGCTTGCTACAATGAAGGAGGAGTATGAAGCAAAGCTTTTGACTGCAGCAAAAAAACATGAGCAGCAACTTTCTAAAACATGTGAAGAATGTGAGATAAGAGTAGCAGAAGTGATGAAGGTGTTTACAGTGGAATCAAGACAAGCACTTTTAAATGCCACTGTATCAACAAATGAAATACTATCATCATTGCAGTCTTTACCTTTAGCCAGCATTCCTTCATATCAAACTCAAAAGGAGTTGATTCAACCTGTCTTGTCACAGCGTCTGAAAAAAGGAGACAAATGGTTAGTATGATATTGTTATTAACAACTTTTAATATTATTATTATTAATTATTATTATTATTAATAGGTGTCTTGTTGATAAGGATTGGTTCAAGAGGTGGAAGAAATACACTGGATTTGATTCAATGGATCAAGAGACTGCTGGACTACCAAGTGGTCATCCAGGACCAATTGACACTGCTATTTTGTTTAAAAGTAATAGTAATAATTCAAGTAATCTATACAAAATTTCCAATGATACATTGGCCTACAGTACGTGCAGTCATCATGTAGTACATATTATCATCATCATCATCATTATTATTATTATTATTATTATTATTATTATTACTATTATTATTATTATTATTATTATAAATGTAAATTTACAATATATACCTGTTGCCCAATATTCTTTGCCATTGCAGTTCTGTTTAGCATAGTGTCAATAATTATTGCTTTCAGGGTTTTAAGTGCTTTGAATAATCATCACTAATTATTTATAGGCAATGTATCTGAAGCACTGAATGATCATCTAATGGAGGAACTGGACTATGCACTACTACCTGAGCCTGCATGGAATCTTTTACTGAGTTGGTATGGACTATCAGTAGGATCAAGACCTATTATTAGGTATAAATTAATTATTATTCTATTAATTGGTATAATTCATTAGGAATGTAGTAGAGTATGGAACATATTTTAAGCACTTGGGGGTTGAGGTTTACTTTATTGATTTAAAATTATGTGTACATCCTCACACTACTGATATTAAAACAGGTTCATTTAGTCGAGCGGATACAATCAGTAAGTTATAATCATACATGTACTGTTAATACACTGTGTCTATATTATAGGTCGTTTATTCTCAGTAATAAAGGAACAGTTCAATATTCCTGATACTACTGAATGTAGACTGTGGCAACGTTACATGGCAAACAGTTATGAATTATTAACAAATCTTAGACAAACAATACCAGATGCTGGTATATATGGAGGACAAGTCAGTTGATTTAATTATATCATATGTAATTATAAATCATAATTACCATGTAGATGATATTACTGGAAATAAAAAATCCAGATGGTACTTGGTCAAGAACTGTGCAACATTCAGCTATTCAGACTTCCTCAAGTTCATAATATACTTGTAGTTCCTCAAATAATTGGGATGTCATTTAATATATGAATTTTAAATTTTACATATTTTTGTGGTTTTGCGATAAAATTGATATATTTAATTGATAGCTCTGTTAGTAACATAAGATCTATACAATAAAGTCACATATATAATAACAGTTAGTAGTACAAGTCCATCATCAATCAAACCAATGAGACCAATAGCTGATTCTGGGAGCAGATCAAAAGGAATGAACAAATACAATAGCAACAGTACTAAAACTGCTAAAATATGTAACCTGTGAATACATATTAGACCATGGACTGAGAATAAGTCTCTTAGTAGGTAGCGTAGTAATGTAGGTATGTCATATATGTAACTCATTAGCTATG